TCTGTACTGAGTTAAGCTTTAACCCTTTCCTATACCAACTGTATGCGTGTGTGTGTGTGTGTGTATGTGTATGTTAGACCAGTTTATGTGTTTATGTAGTATGTTAGACTAGTTTAAGTGTTTATGTAGTTAATAAAACCTTACTTGTATCACACTTGACGTGGTTCATTGTTTGCTTATAACTGGAGTCACTTAATCACGCAGATTTATGCTACAAGCTTTTGTAGAATTGTACAGTAAGAAAGTTATTTCCCTTAACCAGGAAATTAACGTTCTTAGAATTGACAGACAGTTGACCCTGAGAGGTCAGCTAAATATCTACAGCGGATCTAAATATTCATAATTAATTATAACTAGTTATGATTAATTATTAATATTTCCTCATGAGCTGATTCGTTAAACGTAATATACTTTATTTTTTTATAAATGATTAGACTTGCACATGGCAGATTATCAAAAACCCAATTTACATTGACAGAATGCTCTGAAACTTGCTTGGAATGTTTTTGATTTGATACAAATATTCAAACTATATAACCTTCGGACTTCAAACTAACCCTCAAAATGTTTTAAACACCCAAGCAAAGGCTTTGTCAAACTTTTAAGAGTTTAAGTAGTTTGTTGCTACTGATTTCTCATCAGGTTCTCTCACTCAAAAATTTCCAGTAAAGCTGTGACCCAGAGAAGCGCGGCAATTTTTCAATGTAATATGTTACCTTTTGACATCAGGGTGACCTCTTTTTGTGCTTCCTCTACAGCGGTACACACTTTCCGGATTACACTCTGAGAGATTCCCTGCAGAGCTGCAAAGTCTGATACGCTGTAGGCATGCTGATCATACGGCTCGCTCGCGATCTTTCTCAGTAATACCTTGTTTGCATCTTTGATCTCTATGACGAATATTTTGATTCCCCTTTGCCTCAGATCCTGAGCCTGTGACTCGACCTCATCTTGAGAGTCACCGTCTGTGATAACAATGGCAATCTGAGGAACATTCTGTTGTGCTCGACTTCCAGCCTTTTCAACAAAGTGTTGTTTCAGCATGAACTCCAAACCCTTGCCAGTATGCGTCCCGCCGGTTTTATAATGAAGATTTTGGATGTAGCTGAGAATTTCCTCTTTGTTCTGGTAAGTGCTGAGCGAAAATTCAGTATACGGTGTGTCACTGTACTGGACCAAACCGATCCTGATTCTGTCAGGAGCAACTTCAAATTTCTCTACAAGCGAGGAGATGAATTCACGGATTTGTTGGAAGTTCGTCTCCCCAATACTGGTTGAGCCATCCACCAGGAATACAATGTCAGCCACTGTCTCCTGTGTACAGACTGAGAGAAGGAAACCTGAGACTTTTAATTTCATCAACAACCAGACCATACTGAATATACAGTAAATAATCTAATCTAGTAAATCCTGTCCCTACCAATGTTTTGGCCATTGCTGACAAGAAAACATAATGACAGAACAAGGAAGTCAAGTAATCCCCACTCCTTCTCCATGCTTGAGTTCCCTGTTCCTGAAAAAAAAGCAACCATTGGGGTTAAAAGTTTCTGCACAACTTGCATCACAAAACAGAATTGCAAATACAATATGCATTAAAAAAATTACACACTTCAGCTTTAAGAAAGATATATTAGGTCAGTAGGGATGTTGTTATACAAGTAGAAAAGACAGATCTTCCCATTTTCCCCATGATCTTTCCTGTTTTGTATGAAAAACAGAATGTTTGTAAAAATGGTCAGGTTGAGATGTGAAAGCTACTGTTTTTGCATGTTACTGGTCAACAACAACTTATGTTCTTACCACACAAGGGCCTTCCCTTACGAAAAATATGTTTATTCAAGGGTGCTATTAGTATACTTCTTTTAAACATAAAATAGTTTTGATGTAAACTAGTTGTGTACTCAAAGTGTACTACTGTTATACTTAAAGTATACTTAAAAGTATACTTTTATATACTAGAAAGTGGGCCAATTTAGTCTCAATGAGTATTGAAATAGTACACTTACAAGTATACTACTAGTACACTGATATTTGTATACTTACTACATAAAGTTTACTTAAAAATATACTTGAACTTTACTTAAGTATACTTACTAAAATAAACTTGAAGTATACTACTTTTTGGTAAGGGTTGTCCAAAATGGCACACTTCATGTTTACTTGTGTAAACAATGGCCATCAGGTAAGCAAAACCACAAGGAAGAGTCAGATCAAACTTAATGAAATGGACACCAGTACAGCATGCATGCAGCAACATTTGCCAAAATTAAATTTCAGTCTTACAGATTTGTTACACTGCAAACAAATTGAGCAACTAACAAAGCCTAGATGGCCAGGCTCCATACCTAGTCATATATTTAACACATTCTTAGATACAAAAATATGTAATGCATGCATGTCATGTTTATAAGATGACATAAAACACATCCACTGCTGTCTGATTGTTTACCTGGGACTGCACTGAGAGGGTTCTCCTCATGTTTTTGGCACAGCGCCTTGTAACTTTGATCTAGAAATGGCGCACCTTGTGGGTTGTTCACATACTGCTGTAGTGAGTATGTATCAAAAGGGATGCATGTATGAACTGTCATCCAGCCGTGTGTCATCCACAGCTCATTGATGTCAGAGGGGACCGGAGACTATTGAGCATTGTTCACAGCGACCGCAGGGCCACAGTCCGACAAATCACCAGCAGCTACTACAGCAGTGGTGACCAGGGCAATGTGTCACTGCACACAGTTCATCAGAGCCTTCTGCATGTGGGCCTCTGTAGCCAACCACCCAGACAAGTCCCCATGTTAACTGCACACCATAACCAACAAGCATGAAATGAAATGTGGATGATTGGAAGAAAGACGCATGACGAATAAAGATTCCAGGTGCATCACATTGACGGGCGTGCACAGATACGTTAATTACCAACAGAGGCTATGGCACCTGGATGCACTGTTCACTGTTCTAAACAGTACTGGGAAAGGGTTCTTTCTGTTTGTAACAATAGCAAAACCCTTTTTAGTGCTAAATAGAACCTTTTATAGGATTCCATAAAGAACCATGCTTTGAAAATGCTATATAGGACCTTAATGGTGTTATAAATAAACTTTTTAGTGATGTTTTATTTTCATTAGTATTAGAATATTAGTATATTTATATCATAATATTAGTATTATTCATATTATTTGTATATATTATTTATTAATATAGTTTTTTACCCCTCTATCTCCTTGGTATTACAATATCTTGTAGCATCTATCAGGGTTTTATATAAAAACAACAACGTGTCAATTTGGTACTTTTAGTTTTTTAATGACGTAATGAAATTGTAGCAAAAATGACAGTGCTTTAACAACAGTTATTAGCAGAATACATCAATAAATGACAATTTACATTGAACATAAATAAATACTTGAAGTAAAACAAAATAGACACAGAAGTTCCAGTGAAATGCTGCATTTTCATAATTCTCTATGATGCCTTTAAGTCCATCATTATGAGTATTTTGGTGTGACTGAGTGCCAGTTTCTCTCTGCAGATGCTGAGGTTGTAGGATGTGACATCATCTGAAATGCATAACTGAGTTTAGAGTTGTCTCCTTTCATTTGTTTTTGTAAAAACAATTGTTTATGAAGGCCAAAAGTAGTAAAAATTCTAACAATATGAACCATAAATATTTTTGTTACTTAATTAGTGGTGAAGAGGAGAGAACTATCCTTAATTGAACAAAGCTGGTCACACTTACATGTTCTCTTAAACTAAAAAGAGAAAAGACATGACTGGTCTGAGTTGGAACCAGTTACAATTTGAAAGTTATAATTTATAGACAATTTAAGAAAGAAATCATTTACCTGTTGAGAGTGTGTTGACAGTCTGGTTGAGCTCCAGAAAATCAGTAATGAGCCATCTTTTTTTATAGTGTAGCCTCTGTTAGGGTTTTACATTAAAACAACAGCTGCAGCATGTTGTGTGAATTAGGTACTTTTTTTATTGATGTGAAATTGTAGCAAAAATGTTAGTGCTCTTAACTACAGTTCTTGGCTGAATGAGGTTGAGCTCCAGAAAATCAGTAATGAGCCATCTTTTTTTATAGTGTAGCCTCTGTTAGGGTTTTACATTAAAACAACAGCTGCAGCATGTTGTGTGAATTAGGTACTTTTTTTTATTGATGTGAAATTGTAGCAAAAATGTTAGTGCTCTTAACTACAGTTCTTGGCTGAATGAATGCATTAAAGGGTTAGTTCACCCAAAAATGAAATTTAGGCTGCGTTTTACTCTGCCACTCAGCGGGTGTTGCATCGTTTCAGTCCAAAGAACTTAAATAAAACTCGCCCATCCATAAAAAAAGTGTCTCACACGGCTCCGAGGGGTGAACAAAGGCCTTCTGTAGCGAATCAATGCGTTTTTGTAAGAAAAATATCCATATTCAAAACGTAATAAACACTTTAATGTAGCTTGCGCCAACAGTTGTACACAGAAGCAGTTCCGGGAGCATGACGTATGAGGTCAGCGTTGCGCATGCGCCGGTGAGTCTCGTGAAAACCATCGTTTGTTAACAGGATCAAAGGAAGCAAAGTTTCATTACTTTAGCAAAGGAAAACTCAACTCAAACTTAAACTTAAAAAAAAATAAAAAATACATAATAATAGTAACAACAAATATCATACACAGCTAAAAAACATTGTCAAAAGCTATAGAAAACAAATGAGTTTTAAGCGAACTCTGAAAAACACCCAAAGTTGGAGAAGTTCTAATAGACAGAGGAAGGGCATTCCAGAGCCTAGGAGCTGCCACAGAGAAAGCACGATCCCCTCTACATTTTAGACGTGATCGCAGAACCATTAGGAGTAGTTGTTCATTTTAGCGCAGAGATCTGCTGGATTGACGGACAATAATTAAATCAGTAGTCAGGTGATAGACCATGCACAGCCTTAAAAACCAGTCTCCTCTTGGCTTATATCGAAATCCTCTGACATTCTTCTTTACAAATCCTCGTTTTGTACTTCTAATTCTTGACTGTTTTGTTTTGATCTCTCCCCTGCGTTTCCGCGTGCATCACTTCTGAGCGGCGCATGCGCAACACCGACCTCATACTTCATTCCCCCGGAACTGCTTCCGTTTACAACAGTGAGCGCAAGCTAGATTCAAGTTATTACGTTTTGGATATTTTTCTTACAAAAACGCATCGATTCGCTACACCCCCCGGAGCCGTGTGAGACACTTTTTTTTATGGATGGGCGATTTTTATTTAAGTTCTTTTGGACTGAAGCAATGCAACACCCGCTGAGTGGCATTAAACAGCATGAAAGATCAAAGAACATATTTATATAACTCCGACTAGATTCGTCTGAAAGAAGAAAGTCATTTACACCTAGGATGCCTCGGGGGTGAGTAAAATGCAGCCTAATTTTCATTTTGGGGTGAACTAACCCTTTAATAAATGACAACTGACACTGAACATGAATAAATACATGAAGTAAACCAAAATAAAAACAAAAAATAGATGTGATGAAGACCAAGTTCCAGTGAAATATCTTCACAATCCTCATGCCTTTAAGTCCATCATTTTAGTGTGATTGAGTGGCAGTTTCTCTGCAGATGATGAGGTTGTGGGATGTGACGCATCTGAAAGGCAATAAATCGCGATTAGGCAGAAGCTGCGATTGTCATGCGTATCTTTCAGTGAAGCACAGTTCTGTGATCAGCAGTAAATATCCATCCGAAGACCAGAGGGCGCTCTCGCGCTGAAAATCCAAATATGCCCCGAAGAACAAATCCAGGAAATACCTATGGCTGCAGGTGAATAAACAGAAGATTGTACTGCTTTCATTGATTCAACGTGACTAATAAACACACGACTACGGCAATATATGGTTTATCTGAGTTATTATTACTACAATTTTTATCGTAACGAAGTATATCTATAATGAAATGCTAATCGACATAGGCATTATCAATGCTTAGAATACAATGAAATATTGTGTGCCTTAATTATTCTGTTTAAGAAGCCACATCATCTCACAGAAGGATTTATTTCAAACACTCGACTGACATTATGAAGTGAGTTTGGAGTAAAAACATGTTATTAAATGTGGTATTTTCACGTGCTCTCAGATGGAGCAGCATTTACTACACAGAGCCGTAGTTCACTGAGAAGATACGCAAACAGCTGTCATTATCACAAACGATTTTGTCGATTTCATAATCCTACGATTATATCGTCTGTGAATATGAACGCAATTTTGCATAGCTTGTCAGAGAACTACAGCTCTGTGTAGTAAATGCTGCTCCTCCTGAAAGCAGGTGATGGAGATTTACTACTAATCACAGAACTGGCTTTACTGACAAAATGTGCATGACAATCGTAATTAATCGCGTTCGATTAATCGTGCAGCCCTCTCTGTTACTTACTTAGTGCAGGAGAGAAGCTTAACAGAGCTGCTCACACTTATATCTGAGAATAAAAACTAAGAGGAGCGAAGAACATGTTTGTTTGGAAACCAATTACAATTTTAAAGT